GCACAAAGCTTTTCTTCTTTCGTCAGCATGCTCCATTCACACATGGCTCCTTCATATGCGTGTCTTCATATATTATTCATATTAAACATTAAACCACACACGCAGTACTATAACCAGTTTATCCAGCTCCGCCCCACATTACGCTTGTGAAAAAGAATGCTGTGACACAGTTTGATTATGGAGCTGAAAGTGCCAACCCTACAAGTCCCACACACAGTCCCCTTTCATTTCCCTATGGATTTGCGTTAAAAAGCTGGCAGCAGGGGCAAATCTTGCCCGCTTTTGCCCCAGCACAACTAAAAGCCCTGAATTAGACCAGCAATTCTTTATCATCAAAGAACCAGTTGTGTGTGTCTATGAACCGACTAAAGTTTAGAAACTTGGATGTGAACAGACAAAAGGACAGATTGCAATACACAACAAAGTCACAGAGCCGTGCCCTGACTATTTTTGGTAATAAGTTAATTAGTTTAAACCATAGACAGTCACGCCTATCTACGCCGTTCTAACTAATGGGCCAAAAATTGGGCTCTCATGGAGTGATTCAAAAGGGCAGCGGAGGCTAGAAAATGTGAAAAAACGCATCTGGCCATGCGTCAGCCGGCGCGAGCTCCATTGATTTAAACGAGTGACTTCAAAAATTCACAGCGAATAAACTAGAGTGGTCCAAAAAAATTCACTCCCCTCAGCTTTGACACACATGTGGAACGGAGCTTTGGGCCAACTTTTGGACCATCCTGTAAATTTTTTTTTGAGAGGTAAGAAGATGCTATATGTTAGCATTGGCTAATTCTTATACCGGGTCCACCCCCATCGGCCCGGGGTGGTATTACAAGCATGTCAGCCCACATCATTTTGGCCACTTTTGAGCCGGGACCCGCCACCACTGGTTTAAACTCACAGGCCTGTCGTTAATAACATAAGGCTGCATTCTCACCAATGGCTGTGTGGAGAAAGTTCTGTTTACTTTTGAATGCACTGGAAACGGCAGCAAGTCCAAAGTAGCTCTAAAACAGTTGTTGTTTTTGTGCTTTACAATTATTATTTTTCAATAAAGTATCTATCTATCTATCAAAATATTTTAGGAATTGTAATTTAAAAGTACAATGATTGAATATATATATATGATGCTCTAACCCTAACCCTTTTTGTTCAAGGGTGACTGGATTGGTTAATTGATATACAATATAAATCAGACAAAGGCCCAATCCGCATTCATGAAGGAGGCATGTTTAAAATGAGATCCTTCATCTGTCCCAGAGAGGGGAAATTTCAGTGTTTGATCACAAGTTAAAGAACTTTAGCATGGCTAAAGAACAAGTCTAGTATTTTGTTTCCTCTTGTGGGGCTGGTGACATACTGTGTGACCAATGGAAGTGAGGTGCCTGGGACACGAGGGTGCAGGGTTTGAAGGTCTCTCACTGTGAAGAACGGAGGGTCACATAGACAGCTATCAGAATATTGTGTCCAAACTCCTACAACAGGTATTTTGACCACCCACCAATAGCCGCAGTCCAATGTCTTTTTCACATACCTACTTTCATCTTCAGTTGTTGTTCCACAACTGTGACCCATTTGTGTGCTGTGTAACTTGGCTCCCAATAAAGATAACAACAGTTATCAGCTTTTACAGCAGTGAACGGACCAATTCCAGAGCTGCAACCCTGTTACATAAGCTTTGCATTTGTGTCTCAACTAACCCCACCGCAAACATACTCATAAACACAAGATTAAACGCAAATAACCCAGGTTTTCATGTCCCCCACTGACACCAGATGTTTAAATTCAATTCAATGTATTCTTGTATAGCCCTAAATCACAACAATGGTCATCTCAGAGGACTTAACAAAACCGTTGAAAATGCCAACACAAATCAGAGAATCAAAGAGTTCAAACACAAAAAATATAGAACACATAGGTATTGGTCCATAGGGAGAGACCAATGTCCATGAATGTTGATAAATGTCCATAAATGTTGTAGAATGTTAGAGAGTTCTGGATCATCGCCACAGTCCTTACGTAATTTCATCCAGCAACATCATCCATTCACTCACTCATTACATTCATAGCTATTGCGCAGGTTTTTAGTGGTAGGGGAATCCGGAGCACCTCGAGGAAACCGGAACAGACACAGGGAGAACATGCAAACTCCACACAGAAAGGTCTGGAGGTGGAACCAATCCCACAAGCTCTTTTGTGGACACTCAAAGATGCCTCATGTCTCATCATCTTTCACTTCATACATAGAGGTGATAAAAAAATCGAAAAAAATCACGGTTCGGATTGTACCTCGGTTCAGAGTCACGGTTCGGTTCATTTAACACTTTATTAAATTAATTTAAAAATGTTTAAAAATCAACTTAAAATGCACAAGGCATATCTTCTTTTTTATTTATGAAAATCAACATATGAAGGCACATCATCTTTCTTGACTGAGATTCCCTTCTGGGATGCCAAATTCACTACACCTATCTGTGGGCCCAGTCCTGCCTCATTCGCTGCATTTATTAGATTTTTGGCTTCATCAGTTGTGACTGGGATATTAGTACATCTCTCAGTCTGCCGTGATGAAGTGTGTGGTTATCGTAGCATAGCTCTCCGTTCCGCTCATGGATCTATTATACTGTAAGTTCCGCTGGACGTCCAAGCCTCAGTCGTGAGCGCAACTGTGGATGCGCGGGATAGTTGACTTTAGCCCGGTCTGACTGTGCATGAAGGGGCTGCTTAAATGCCGCGGCAATAAGCGGTTGTTGAGAAGCCTTTTTTTCAATCATGTCTTTCTTGTGCCACAGTGTTTACACATCGTGACAGTTTTGTCGACTAACCTGATTCCATCATCAGTATAGTTACAGGGAAGCCGTAATGCTCTCATAAAGGGGATTTAAAGGACGCAGGGCTTTCAAGCTCCTCTGTTCCTGACTATGCTGTGTGTGGACTGAACAACATGCGCACAACTTTTTCTTTCATATATCAAACCGCGGATCACGTGTGTACCGAACTGAAGACGTTGATCCGAACGGATCACGGATCAGGGGTGAACCGCTGCACCTCTAGAGGTGATAAACTATAGTAGCCACAGCTGCCCTGGGGCACACTTGACAGATGCGAGGCAACCAGTATGTGCCATCAGCCCTTCCCACCACCACCAACCATTCACACACACCAGAGTCATTCTAATGTGGGTGAAGTGCACACAACCACAATGAGTTATTGAATCAATGACTCCGGTCTCCATGCACCCGCTGAGCAGAACCTCACTCTGAGTAGTGACCTGTTTATTACTCTCTTGTAATGTAGACCATTGGTCTTTATTCTAATTGTTGAAACTGCATTCATCCTCTACAGTATGTGCTACCGCATACCGTATAAATAACCAGAATATTTTATTTTATTTATTAAACTCTGGCCTGGGCCGTCAAGGAGGCAAAAATGCCCGGGCATTTCTTGGTCCCAGTCCAGCCCTGGACCATAGACAAGAAGGTGTGAATCCAAACCAGTTTTAGATCTGCCCAGTCTTAGGCCCTGTTTAGACGGAGATGCTGCAGAGATTTTGCAAAGCTTTTAGCAAAAACGATCAGGCTCCTTATTCAAGTACACAGCGTCAAGTGCACTGCGCATGACCATGCATGGCCACAATGATCTACAATGCAATCTCTGGAAGGAGTGTACCGGAGTGGGCAGAATTTGTTGTGGTGTGGCTGCCAACCTCCAATGGCTTCCTCAACTGTATTTTCTAGTTCTGGATAAACCAAAGTTTCCGCAGGAAATTCTACCTCATACGGCTTTTACTATTGCAACAACACATCATCAGTAGGGTAAAAAACTAACCTGTCTCACGACGGTCTAAACCAGGGGTGGGCATACTTTTTGGCTTGTGGGCCACATTGGGTTAATTTTTTTTTTTACAGGGGGGCCGGTTCAGTAGAATTTGGATAGCGTTAATACTAAAGCACTGCATGTAGAGTGCAAACCTTATAGCACAGTAAGCACATGCAAAAATATTGATATAAATGCATTAACATTGAGCACTGCATCTTTCAAATGTGCAAAATAGTCCTGATCCTGGTAGTACATTTGTCTTGATGACTATGCAAGAAACTACATTTACACACTATTGGGCACCATACTGGGAGGAGACAATGTAAATAGATGAAAATAAACTCCGATCTATCAAACCTGGAGATTGCATTTAATTTAAATACAATTGAAGACGTAAAGTTAAATAAATCAACATTTATTGAAATAACATGAAATATATTACTTTCAACATTCAAACTTGTGATGCAACACCGAAATATCCCCACTGTGGGACAAATAAAGTGATCTCTTAATCTTAATCAAACATATAATTACCCAATTCTTTTTAATGCCAACTTAATTAATTTTTCTCATGCAAAACAAAATACATCACCAAAATAACACAAAAAACAACAAATACATAAAGAGACAATTGCAAAGAGGACAAACAATTCACGACATTGAGAAGAATAATCTTGGACAAGCCATATTTGGTGAATAAAACTTCAATTCCCATATTTAATGCCACGAAAGAACCTACATGACCACTCATTACATCTTGGTTTTCCAGCAATGCAAGCATCGCGGCCCTCACAACATGAACATGTAGCCACTGACGAAGGTGCCAAGTTTTGATGGTCATCTTATTGTTAAAATTCTAATATGACTTAGCTTTAACATTGTTACATCTTAACTGATATTTCTAGATGCTTGTGGGCCTCATTGTGAAAATGTGTGTAATTACAGTATGGTAGAGCCACGTAAAGCATGTTGGACACAAGCAAGACATCCTGCGCAAGTGCATCTTGTGAGTTCATAAGGTTTTAAATAATTTTACATTCTAAAGAAATACATCTAATACCCATTTAACTCAGCTCAACTATGTGCTGGATGAGGAGAGGTCAGGAAAGGAGCTTATCGTCCAAAGTACTAAGATGGCTCTAACACGGTCTGACTTTCAAACTCTTGGTTTAAAACGAGATATGGAGTCTACTGTGAGTATCGTTTTTTTATTGCTCTGCTAATTTGGCTACAATATTGCCATATTCTAAATTGTTTATTTATTTATTTTCAGATTGGAAATGCCTGCTTTGAGATCATAGAAAAAGTCGCGCAAGTCAAGGTAAAATACAAAATGTGGTTGGAGGCAACAATGATTTGTTTTAATTATGATTGATAGGGAAAGAACATTTTCGTTGTGGACCTATATGTTGTTCCAACTTGGCGGGAACCATATTCCTGTGACCCTCTGGCCTCCTTTCCTGTAAGTTGCAAATGGTTTGTTGACTCAGGAGATCTACTGCATAGTCATTTAATTTCTACTAAATATTAGACGGATCCTCACCTCAAAGATGCCATAGTGGTCCCTATTTGGAAACCAAGGCATTACATGTTGTCTGTAAGTATTCTGTATAACTTTTTGGAGGGAGACAAATTAAGTAGTATAACAATGTAAACGTTAATGAAATGCAAATACAGGTTTTGAGGCCAAGCCAGAGAGAAGTGCTATTTCTGGATTCCCAATATGCAGTGGCACAGTTTGGATTTGGTGATTCGAAAATAAGGGGAATCCTGAGGTCACCTTTTAGTATGATTACGTGGTTCCTGTTCCTTTGCCGTTCCGCAGAGAGGTTATTGAGTTCTTCAGATCACGTTCGGATCTGTACTTTAAGGGCTTTTAAAGATGTTAAAAAAGATATTCATGACTTGTTTTTCTAAAGAAACTATTGAATGTAAAAGATGGAGGGCAAAGGCAGGAGCGAGAGAGGAGAGAAGTTACAATAGAGGACATGCAGGTAAAGACTTATCCTGCTGTCTCACCTGTGCGACTGCTTATTTAATGTTCACATTGTCCACAAGATGGAGACAACTCTGCTCTTGAAGTGTAAAACCTTTTGGCACATACAGCCAAGTAATTTGAATAGAAGATGCATCTTTAAATGCCCTGTAGAGTTCTGTTCAAGTTCAACATTTGAACTTTTTAATGCTATGCATGCAGCTTAATGATTAATGTATTGCTTTTCACTGAAGCATCTATCCACAATGTTATTGTAGAAATGTGTGCAAATCCATAATCCCTGGGGAACCATGGACAGAGAGGACAGGTTTGGAAATGCAGGTAAGACAATTGGAAATGAGAAATGCCAAATAATTCACACTAATCTCTCCAATTGTGTTTCTTTTTTTGTTCATTTTTTTTTTAAAAGGATCTTCCAAAGCAGCTATATGGCAATGATTGCGGCATCTTTATGTTGATGGTATGGCTTCCATTTCACATATTTTCTTACATTGATTAATATTAACCAAACTTTACCCAAACCCAACTTTCCAGTACACTGTACTGGAAGCGCAGTTTGACTTCACAGTTGTAAGTATATCCTTTTTCTTGGGCATGAGCTTGGCTCTACCTCATAGTGTAGGGACCCCCTCATGATCCTACGAAATGGGCTCTGTGCATGACCAGCTGTTGAAACTACATCTGCCTAGGAAATGTCAGACAAGTTTCCTCTTCTGTCTGTAAAACTACAGTTACATTGCTAACTAATAATTGACTCTTCTTGGACTTTTAAGGAAGACATGCCAACTCTGAGGAAATGGTGGTGTTTGTTACTGATGGAGACCTTTGACCTTGGGAGGTGAGATTCATTTGTTCTCAAAGTATTACTCGAAGAGAATGTTTCTATTGTCAATATTCTCAATGTTCCATTAATACCCTCTTACTCAAGCTATGGACAATTATTTGCCCATTGGACGGAGGAAGCCAAGGCTATGCTTCGAGGGGAAGTACAGCCAGTTCTGAGGGTGAAAAAGCGCAAGTTCTGTGCAACAGACAGACCTGTTGCCTGCTACACAAGTGAGTCATAAAACTCGGGTTCTTATCCAACAGTCTTTCACTATTGGATTTTTTTGGTTGCAACTACCTACCACAGGAATGTAAAATACAATGATTTATAGTGAATGCAGGGAGACTGAGAACAAGAATTTTAATATCCTCATGGCTCATGTGTGAGCAACCATACACTGAATTAAAATGGTGCATGTGGACCCTCGCACCAGCTGTGTCATTGCAAACTGATAAATAGTGTTATCTATAAATTGAATCCACAAATGAAAGAAAAAAAAATAATAATTAAAGTGGAAAATCTGTTCTCTGCACTGGGAGAACAGGAGGGTGGTCAAAAGAGCTAATGAGCAGCTATGAGACCATTATCAGTTTATTTGTGCACGGATAAACCGGAGGAGCACGAGCCCTCCCAAGGCGATCCATTAACTGTTAATACATTTAAATTCACATTGATGTTTGTCTTCATTCTAGGAACATCGAGACTGGAAAGTCCTAAAAGATTGTCAATTAGCAGCAAGCTGGGCAAAGGACAACCTGTTTTTATTCACTGGAAAAATACAGTTTCCTCCTGTGCTGGACTGGGAAGGAGATGAAGCTGCTAAGGCTGAAGCAGACTTCTCCCAGTTTAGGGAGACTGGTTTTGACCCAGACAGTGAGGAGCAAGAGAACATCTTGGAGCCCTTCAAGTTTGTGTTCTCTCATATTGAGGACATGGAACGCTTTTCTGTTGAGTGTGTTGATAAGATGGGATATGTGTTGTATTGTGAATGTATAATAAATAATTGAACGGCCTTATCATTGATAATTTATTCACCACAAAAGGGGAATGTTCAGTATAGCATCACAGGTTACAGAACGGTAGGAAAATCAAAAATGTGTGTAGCAAGCAAGCAAGCAAAGTTTATTTATATAGCACCTTTCTCAGACAGAAGGTCACAAAGTGCTTCACATCAAAACAAGCAATAATTAAAAACACAAGAAAAAATTACACAATCAAACAACAGTGGAGACAGTCATATCAGCCCATAAAACCGTACTTTCAAAACGCTCGGCTGAACAAGAACGTCTTGAGTTGGGATTTAAATGTATCAACAGAGTCAAGTGATCGTAGAGAGAGCGGGAGATCGTTCCAGAGTCTAGGTGCGACAGCCTGGAAGGATCGGTCTCCTCTGGTTCGATAACGAGTGCGAGGAACCATCAAGAGATTTTTATCTGCAGACCTCAGAGAACGAGAGGGGACATAGGGCTGAATCAGATCTCTGATGTAAGAAGGCGTCTGACCATATAAGGATCTAAAAGTCAGCACCAAGATTTTAAATTGAAACCGGTAAGACACCGGCAGCCAGTGGAGGGCTTTAAGAATTGGGGTAATATGAGCCCTTCTATTAGTGCAAGTTAAAATCCTCGCTGCAGAGTTTTGAACCATTTGGAGACGAGACAGCTCTTTTTTGTTTAGACACGAAAATAAACTGTTGCAATAGTCTAAACGTGACGACACAAAAGCATGAATAATGAGCTCCAAATCATTACGTGACACAATTTTCCTCAGTTTAGAGATGTTCCTCAACTGAAAGAAACAATTTCTACTAAGCTGTTTAGAGTGGTGATCTAATGACATGTTTTTGTCAAAAATCACACCAAGGTTCCTGAGACTCTGTGCAGCGGACTGACTGAGATCTCCCAAATACTGGTTTATCCCTGGGATAAGGTCATCAGGAGCAATCACAAGGGTTTCTGTTTTATCAGCATTAAGCTGCAGAGAATTTTTACTTAACCATAGTTTTATATTTTTCAAACAGTTGACTAAAGAGTTCAGCCTTCCCATCTCAGAAGGCTTAAAAGAACAGTACAACTGGATATCGTCAGCAAACAGGTGATAAGAAACATCAGCAAACTCTTGAATGACCTTTCCCAATGGAATTATATAAAGTAGAAATAGAACCGGACCCAAAACAGAGCCCTGCGGAACACCACAGAATAATTTAGCTGAATCAGACATGATTTGATTTGCTGCAACACTAAAACTCCGACCAGATAAGTAAGAGGAAAACCAATTTAGAACTGGCCCTGACAGTCCAACCAAGCCACTCAATCTGTTTAGCATTATGTGGTGGTCGACGGTATCAAACGCTGAGGACAGGTCAAGCAGAACAAGAACAGAGCATTTTCCAGAGTCAGCAGACATCATTATGTCACTGGATACTTTCAACAATGCTGTTTCCGTGGAGTGATGTTTTCGGAAACCAGATTGGAAAGTGTCATGAATGTTACAATGATCCAGGTAGCACGACAATTGTTTTGAGACCACCTTCTCTAAGATCTTGGACAGGAAAGGGAGTTTGGAGATAGGTCTGTAATTTTTTGGGTCCGCTTTGTCCAGATTTGTCCTTTTAAGTAATGGCTCTACTATGGCATGTTTAAATGAAACTGGAAACACGCCACTTGAAAGGGAAAGATTTATCATTTTAGTGACCCAAGGGCCAATTACATCAAGTACTTTTATCAAAAGTCTGCAAGGAAGGACATCAGAAAAACAAGAGGATGGTTTCATCTTCGTGATCAATGTTTCAATCTCTGTTTCAGTAACAGGCTTAAAGGAAGACCAACTGTGTGGTACAGGCTCAGTAGCAACAGAACTGTCACACAAAAGTGGTGGAAATTGGTCTTTTATGACCTTTATCTTGTCAATAAAAACCCTAAGGAATTTATTGCTGTCAGCTTTACAGGAGACCGGTGTAATAGCCGCAGCAGGACACACAATAGAATTTATAGTATCAAACAATACCTTAGGGGTTTTCTTATTCACAATTATCAGCTGACGAAAATAGTCAGAGCGGGCCTTTTCCATAATTTCATTAAAAGAGGAAATAAGATCCCTGAGATGTAACCTGTGAACTTCAAGATTTGTCGTTTTCCACAAACGTTCCGTTTTGCGACACAATCTCTTTAGATTTTGGATTCTCTCATTTATCCAAGGAAAAGCTTTTTTTTGTGTTGGCGACATTGATTTTATAGGGGCCACCTGATCTAAGATTGACATGCAGTGACCATTAAAACAATCAATTAAACTGTCCACATCAAGACAATCCATAAACAAGTGAGGATCAAACATATTTGAAAAACTGTCAGCTGTGGTTGCAGCAATAATGCGTCTCTGTGATTTGGTTTCTGAGGTCACAGACTCGGGAGTAATATTACAGTCAAACAGAACACAACTGTGATCACTTATGTGGACATCCTCCACACTCAAGTTTGTAATATCCAGGCCTAGGGAAAAAACTAGGTCTAGAGTGTGTCCCCTCTGATGAGTGGGGACAGACACATGCTGCTCAAAGTTAAAAGTTTCAGTCAATGTTAAAAGATCAATTGCAGGGCAAGATGTGCTGTTATCCACATGAATATTAAAATCTCCAAGGATTAAAACATTTTCCAACAACTGTAGACCTATAGGTCAAGCTAACTCTTATTCCTCTAAAATAGAAAAAAATAGTGGATACCTATGTAACTTTAAAGCTGTTGTGAGAATAATATAGATGAATGGAATAAGCATCTAGAAGTTGCAGCCCTTTACTATAATAAAACCTCGCGATGGTATCTCTACCATGTATATATTGTCTTTTTGACGTGTTTTCATGTGCTATACTATGGGTGACATGTAGGTGGCGCTCTTGTAAACAAATGGCCACAGATTGTCCTTTGGCATCCCAAACATATACCCCTGACTCATGGATGTATTATATTAACTGGATAGGGTATTGCTAGCTTATAGCTGAATAACCCATGTGCTCAGGGGATTCTCGCGGTACTGCAGACTAAATTCACGTGGGCCACCCAGAAATTTTTCCCATAGAACTCAATGCAAATTAAAACAGCTCGACCTCAGCTGACAGAGAACCTACAGCTTTCATAAAGGTCGGATTTTGTGGGGATTTTAGTGCCCCTTGTCATCCTGAACTTTTTTTCTTTTTAAATCAATAGGTTTTCTTTTAATCTTCACTTTAGTGCAACAAACTCTGCTCTCTTTTTCCCGCTCTTCCGCCGCTCTAGCATCCGCAGCTCGCTGATTGGTCAAGACGTTGCCAAGCCCCTCTGCTCGCGTGCATGAGAACCATACGAGCGTGCGTTCCTCGCGTGAACGCGCTCCCTTCGGCTCTGTTGATGACAGAGGAGCGAGGGAGGAAACTGAACCGAACTGACCAGATAAACACGAAATGTACATTGACAGCTTGTTGTGGTTATTGTTAGCTTCATTAAGAGTCTATGTATGGTCTTTCCTACAGCGTTTGGAGTCGTGTGAATTCGTATGACAGTCATTTATACCAATATGAGTACAATAAACATAGCTATTGACTTTACAGCGTCCATATCAAAACCGAACTCAAACGTGATGATTACACAAGAGCTGGCGAGAGAGTTTAGGTATTCACCATGAATGTTGTAACCCTGCCAGTCAAAGGCAGCACAGACACACACATTTTAAGTAAATGCATTCATGTTTTGCTGTAATACATGTGGCAAGTGCTAATGCAGATTAGGATTCACATTGTAATTTAAAATAAAAAATTTTGTTGCTTAGTTCGATCGCCCTTCAGTTTTCTACTCATGGTCATTGTAAATCAAAAATGTACAAATCTCATCTTAATTACATAAAATCGAAACATATTTAAATGTATTGAATAAATGTTTCTATTTACAACAAAATAACAGAAGTAGGAGTCACTAGCATTCATGTGGTGACAATAATATTATTCTATATGTTCAAGTTAGATTGTCTGTCATTCTCTTAAAATGTGTTGTACATAACTCTTGCATGGCTCTAAATACAGTTCATTTGCTGTGAAAAAAATGACGGTTTTAGTTTTTGTGGAGCAAGAGTTTGTTGAATAACTATATTTTTTGTGTCTACAGAGTAGAAAGATGTCCATACTAGAATTATTACATTTTGTAGTGCATATGCAAAACAGTTTAAATGAATAGGAGGTATTCAGGACACAGATTGGTTGTGTATTACTGCTTATCTACTAAAGGCCATTTTATTTGAGTGGAAGTTTTTCTTTGCTGAAGCACTACATTTTCGGTGGGCATATACATCAGTCGGGACCTCACAGTTGGTTTACACTGCGCTAAGGACATACAAACATGCCACACATAGAAACTTAAGCTTTTTTTTTAAGTGTTACTGTTTATATCCTGCACTTAAGTTTTAACTTCCTTTATGATATACAGTTTTTGACTTCTACTTAGGAATGTTTACATTAGCACAATGGTCATAGATAAATATAGATAATTTTACCAATGTAAGACAGCAAAACACTATACATGTAACATGAATAATAGCTGACTTTCTACAAGGTCAAGGAGATGAACTTCTACTTGCTGTGTCACAAATCAGACACAGAATCCAAACTCTCATAACAATATACAATTCTACCAATAATGATAATACAAATGTCAATATATAATCACCAAATATTTGACTAGTATCTTGTGATTCCATGAAAATGTAAGGTGCAATATAAATCAAATAATCATTACTATTATTATTATTACTAATATTCAAAGGTCATTCATCTCTAGGGACACAGAGTCCCCTGAGAGGATACAGCAGAGAACTTTCCCACACAGATTCTCTTGACAAAGCGGCATGCGGTCCAAGTCCCTTTTTTGGAGGAAGAGCTGACAAAGAGGTACATTGTGTGAGATTTCATAACACTTTGAAGCAACTTTTGTTAAAGTTAAACTCATCATTCTATCAATGAGCAGAAGCCTGTACTTTTCCACTACTTGTTTTGACTATCTCTGCTGGCACTGTGGCAGCTGCGGATTGGAGGTCTCTGTTTCTCCTGAGTATATCACAACTTGCTGCCGTAACATCCCTTGTTTGTGTGCTTTGTTCGTGCTGTCTCTACCATTGACAATAAAACATGTCTTCTTTCTGAATGAAAGACACAATCTCAGACGTTGTCATCTTCTTCAATTGATTCAATTGGATGTCCATAGGGAAAAGTGGGAGGGGGTTTGACTAGGCATCTGGTCCACAAGGCCGGAACATTAGGTGTTGAGGATCAGTGCTTCTCTGAAATCAGACATTGCATTAAATCGTGAGATACTTCTGCAGGCCGCTCATCAATTACTCTAATAACTGTAATCTGCAAAGTACTCCACCTTGGCTCAGCTGGATTAGAAAGAATGGTGATGCGGTCCATGAGTCCAGGCTGGTCCTGCGGTCCATGAGTCCAGGCTGGTCCTGCGGTTCATGAGTCCAGGCTGGTCCTGCGGTCCATGAGTCCAGGCTGGTCCTGCGGTCCATGAGTCCAGGCTGGTCCTGCGGTCCATGAGTCCAGGCTGGTCCTGCGGTCCATGAGTCCAGGCTGGTCCTGCGGTCCATGAGTCCAGGCTGGTGATGCGATCCATGAGTCCAGGCTGGTCCTGCGGTCCATGAGTCCAGGCTGGTGATGCGATCCATGAGTCCAGGCTGGAAACCAAACGTCGAGAATGACTTCATTGCTTCTCTGAAATTAGAGAAGTTATTATGGATTTTTGAGTTTTGATACTTCAGCTAGTTTTAATTTGTTAGTAATCTGTAAAATACATTACTGTAAAGCAGACATTTAGGCACATCCAGGATGTTGTGAGGATGATGCACAGGCCCAGGACTTCAAAATCATGTGTTCAGGATACCATCAGTGCTTCTCTGAAAATACATGTCCCACTCGGGACAACAGGGACAACGGGTGAATCGTGATGAACTGACTACAAATGAAAGCCAAACTAGTTACTGATAACAGGAAGACTTAGAGAGAATACTACAATGACATTACCTTCACAGAAAAGTGGGTCCTTGGGCAGCTGAGATAAAAACTGATTGTAATTATTAATTTCTAGCTCAAACAGTATTCAAACCTTAAAAAATAAGTGAAAATGAAGTACATAATGTCAACTAATGAACAATGCATTCTTTTGTTTAATATAAATTACATAGAAAGATAATGAACAACAAAGCAAACTGCTTTTTTACAATGAAACAAAACAACAGAGAAAATGAATTGCAAAGTTCTGAAAATGAAGACAACTAATGAACCTTTTTTTTTTGTTTTTTTGGGTTTTTTTTTAAATGGCATTGAAATGGAATGAACAACAAAATAACAAAGGTTTAAAATGACATATTAAACATGAAAACTTCCAAACATGAACCCAAACAACAGAAAAGTAATTGAAAAGTGTTGCGTGCGTTGTGTTTTGAGTGTCTGTCAACTAATGTCACTTTCAAACTTGTGCTTCGTTGATGCAAGCTCCAAGTTTTTCAGCTATTTTATTTCCTAAATGTTTGAGCCACAACTTAACCCCAATCCGTTGGCATTTATTTTATCTATGCTAATCTGCGCTTTTAACATGTGCTCCGTTCATGCTCGCTCTATCTGTCTGTGAAAGCAACTGTACAGTCACAATGAAACATTGCAAAGAAATACACTGCTGGTTCACAAAGTGGAAATGAAAAATGAAATGATCACTGCTACATCAAACTTGTGCTTCGTTTATGCAAGCTCCAAGTTAATCCCATAAAAACAGTGGACATAACCTTTTGTAATGGGTGGACAATTCATACATTACTGGTGATGAAAATGAATCAACTTTGTTAATTTGTGTCTAACTATTTCAGTAGTAATTTTCTCTGTTTGCCTTTTAGCCAAATGATGTAGCCGAATGTTGCAGTACACAGAAGTTGCCATTTTCACCAAAAGATGCATGTGATTTTCTTCAACAGTGGTGTCAAACATGTGACTGTGCAGCCCAGGAAAAAGATTCTTGCCCATGGTGTAACTCAGAACTTCTTTTCCAATAGCTGCAGACAGCCCACAGCCTTGAGGAATTTTTCCAGAGGTTGATCTCAGTATGCGTTGGAAACACCGCTCTGCTTCTTTACATACTGAAATGATTCCCTCAGATGGCTTCTGCAATCCACCTCTATTCTTCAGGAGAACAAAGGGATGGACGGAGTTGTCAGATGTCAACGCATCAGAGCATGGTGTGCAAAGATGTTTCTCCTTTATCTTCCTGACGACAAATCCTGCTATGTAGTTGATTACAGCATCTTTGTATTCAGAGATGGAATCAACATCAGGACAGAGTAAGTAGTCATGCTCAGACTGGGCTTCCAGAACGGGCTCCAGGTTGAATCTGCGCATGGTGTTAATTGACGCAGGAGTCACGCCTAGAATGCCTGTGTTGTCTAGAAGGAGACAATTTCCTGTGCCAGTATTCACCTGCTGTCTGACGAGAAGGCGTTTGTAGGCTGCAGTGAACTGTGTGGTTGTGGGATTGTTGTTGAATCCACCACGTGCTCTAACTGAGGAGAAGAAAAGCTCAAGGTGATCCTGACTGAGCTTATACGTCAGTAGATAGCGGCACTGAGCATCATCCTTTTCCACTAGGTCATGGAAGATGTTCTGTGCACTTCGGGCACTAGCAATTAAGCCAATAATGCATGTTTTTCGTCTTCCAGCATGCACTGATTTCCCATTTCCATCTCTGAGAGAAAGTAGAGTGGACTCTGCTTTCGCAAGGATTGCTGCAGTTTGTTCTCTGTTTGATGTTCTCATGGGTGCCTTGTATCCCTTTCCAAGGGGATTCCTACTGTTGAGAACATCAAATGCAGCATCGATGGTTCTCAGGAAGTCTACCGTCTCCTCACAACCTCTGAACTGAGGCAATTGCAGATGTTGGTTGCAATATTCAAGAGCATCAGCTACACTACTGCTGAAAACCTGTGTGGCCAGCTTCACCTTCATCTTTTGTTTTTCCCACTTTATATGCGCCATCTTCAACTTGTTTCCAAGTCTGAGACCCTCTTTCTCTTGGAGCTTATTCAGCTCAACAAGATACCTCCACTCAATCTTACCTGTTGATGTTTGCAGAACACCCCAATCAGCAAGTGTATTTCTGAGCAGCTTTACCATGTGACACACATCCAAAAGTACATGAACTGGAGACTGACTGGACGGATGTGGAAAGGAGGGCCGCATAGAAAGCACATCCAAGTCTGCTCCTAGGGCTTTGAGCATAGAGAAATGGCATGATGGACCATCACATGTTAGCGAAACAATACGTACCCCAACATTGTGAAGCCGACAAAGGCATTCACTCACGATGTTTGCTCTTTCTTCACCAGTGAGTGAATCAATAAAGAAATAGGCCACTGGGAGCTTCCAGGAATCGTCTATGGCAACAACCATGATGACGAGAGCGTCTCTAGCTGGAGGAAGACTGTCGTCCACGATGCCACATCCCAGATCAACATATCCATGAAATCTCCCAGCGCTATATTCTATATGCTTTCTTATTGCCATTTCATCCATCATCAAAGCACAAAGGGTCTCCTTTCCTAACTGCTGCCTTTTCTGTACATGGGCCCGAAGAGCTACAAAAGACGCCTTTGTGAAGCCAGGATCAGATGAAACTTCACTGTACCATTTCCTGATGGTGTCTGGATGAGGTAAAGCCAGGTCGAAACACTCACGCACATAGGAATATGCCTTGGCTGAGTAAAAATGTAGAGTCAAAGCAAAACACTGCAGTTCCTCTGACACTTTTGACTTGTTACCTTTTTCCATTCTGGTAATAATTTCCTTTGTGACACCACTGAAAGAATTCTCCATCATTTCAGAGCACCCCGTAGAAATCAGGCGTTTGTCTTTGAGCTCTTCAATTACCGCTGATAGGGAATGAATTGTCTTCTTCAATCGTTTTGTCTTTTGTTTTTCCGTCCTAAGCCTTTTGCGACAGTGGTCCAATTGAGTCTCCGTTTTGCGCTTAGCGCTTTTGGGTGATTCTGATATTCTATAATTATGTTCCTTACTTATTGAGGACTTTACAAAATGTCTGATCTGGGGAGAGAACTGGAGTTTGTCAATATCGCTGTCTTGAGTGAGCTCGCTCTCCTGAATGTCTCCGGCCACATACTGATGATCCAGGGTTATTGCTGACTGTACTAGAGATGTGATCTGGGGAGAGAACTGGAGTTTGTCAATATCGCTGTCTTGAGTGAGCTCGCTCTCCTGAATGTCTCCGGCCACATACTGATGATCCAGGGTTATTGCTGACTGTACTAGAGATGTGATCTGGGGAGAGAACTGGAGTTTGTCAATATCGCTGTCTTGAGTGAGCTCGCTCTCCTGAATGTCTCCGGCCACATACTGATGATCCAGGGTTATTGCTGACTGTACTAGAGATGTGATCTGGGGAGAGAACTGGAGTTTGTCAATGTCGCTGTCTTGAGTTAGCTCGCTGTCCTGAATGTGTAATTCATCCACTCCGGTGTTTCCATCTTCCAACAGATGTACCTGGCTTGTAGAATGTAACGCAACTGCTGTTTTAGGGGGGGATGAGTGTTGTGGCTCATGAGTTGAGGACATGTCACTGCTGGTATCAAAGATTGAGCTTTGTGTGTGTTGGTCAAACTCAATAACTTTGTCTTCAGTCAGCTCAACGTTCTCAAATTTACTTGCATATGTGTGATCCTTACCTGTAATGAGTGCAGCAAAGGCAATGGTGGGTGATTTCTGAGCTGATACAAACTGACCTTTGAGGGAATAGTCAAATATAGTAGGAATAGCTAATGGAGTAAGGGACCGCTTACCACCTTTGACCAAAAAGCATTCCTCAGCAAAGTGAGCAGCACACAGCCTGGAGTTTGAACTTGGCACCCAGTTCTTACGCCTCACTTTTGCAACCCATTGTGCCAGTCTCTTCTTTTCATTCAGAGGAAATCTGTAAGACAGAGCAGAAAACAATTTTTTTTTTTCTTGATCTTATATATGTTAATGATCACATTAACTAATTGCATATTGACTATGTGTGCATTTTATGTAACAGAAATAAGATGATTTTCAGTATTTTTTTAACTAAAAGAAGGAGAAATTGCAGCTCCAATCATACATTTAATGTGCTTTTTACCATCATTTTATCCTCTTCGCCGAAAAAGACAAGATAAGAGATCCTTTATTAGTCCCACATTGGGGAAAATTCAAAGTTGAAGCGCACATACAGGACAGTAATAAGAGCACACAATATGTACTAAATTAGTAGCTGCAATGTTTCTTAGCTAGCTGTAAATGCTCCAATATCTTTATTTCAGATCAATCTATAAATATAGTGCAAAGTTTACAGGGTAATAACGACATTGTAATGGATCCATGGGTAATGCATAAGAGTTATAATAAGTAGGTAAACCATGTGGCAGCTAATTCCTTCAAACGTGCAATTTACAAGTTCTACAAATGTACTGTCTCAACTACTGTGTACCATAAATGTCCAACTTAACACAAGAAAGGAATAAAAGTAAAACGGTTGTTAATATAATAGATCCATGGGTTGTTCAGACGACATCTAGCTAGTCCAATTAATATTAGCAGGAGGCTAAGCTAGCAGGCTAGTACTCTGCTTATTGATCATGACATACAATATATATATTATTGTCTTTTTTAACCAGGTTGAAGTTACAAGTTATAAAAATACATGACGGAACGCAGTGGATGTATGAAGGGGTATTAGCATAGCTAACAGATCCCCGCGCTGCTTATTATATTGCTCGTTTAATTAAACCAAAAATGAATTTACATTTTAATTTACCTGAAAAGTTGGAATTGATGCTTCGCACTACGAGATCCATTGGTGCAGTTGAAAGCAGAACACGAAGGCATTTTTGCGTCGTTCACTCGGGTCACCGTCAAACAAGGCAAAAGGGCCCGTGGGAAAGTTTGTGAAGTATTTATAGTGCCGCTAAGACCATTACAGGTGTTTTGATACATTTTGTACAAACTCCTCCCCCACTATTAAAACTCTGATCACTCAATTTTGAACGCACTTTACCCATGGATGACTTTACCACGGTCAACGCAAGGCAACGGGCTAGGTAAGTGTGAATAATTATTCGTATTTCATTTATGCAAAAGCGTTTTGTAATCATGCATTTATTTTGTCAGTATCAAGTTACAATGAATGGGCAGCAGCAGCGAACCAGCCAGATGCCATCTGTGCACATTGTTGAAGGTAAAATGCTGATATTGTACGATTGAATGTTATCAACGAACACAATTTAATGTGTATTTGAATAGGACCCACCATATGGATTATTGGGGACAGTTACGTACGGCGTGGTCGCGACCGGGCAGCCGAGACCCTTGGTCACAATTTAGGGATGGCGGCCCACGTCCAGTGGTTTGGCCGCGGAGGACTCCGCTGGAGCAGCCTGGTGCCGTGGCTTTTTCGCTTGCTACGGGGACGGTCCGCCCCGGCTGTCCTGCTCATCTGCTGCGGCAGCAACGACCTCGGGAAGGTGAAGAGCGTGGACTTGGTCGCAGCGATGAAGCGGGACCTTCTGGACCTCCATAGGCGGTATCCATCGATGGACATTTTTTTTTCGCAACTGACCGATCGCCGCCTGTGGAGGGACGCCCAGCCGGGGCGGATCAATCGTGCAAAACGCTTTATTAATAATGTTTTAAAAACGTTTGTGAGTGGCCTTGGCGGATGCATGGTCTGTCATCCTACCATAAAGTTTGACTGCCCTGGTCTATTTATTAGGGACGGAGTTCATTTCTCAAATATGGGGAATGACATTTTCTTAAACAATTTAGCCACAGCATTGAAAAATCACTGTCACTGTGTCTAAACTATTTGTTTTAAACACAGTGACAGTGCATTTTTCTGTTAGTGTATTTGAGTTTTAAAATAGTCAGGGCCTCATCCTTTGTGGTAGGATCACTTAGAATGATTGGTGAATGTGTGCGTGAATGACACATATTTTTACCTTCATCTTTTTTTTTTTTTTTGGTTATCCCTGTTGTTATTATGTTCTACGTGTTTTGTATATAGCCATTTTTAATGGAATCACTGCTTTTCATTTTTTTTGTAGATTAAAAATCACAACAAATGCAACTTGTTTTTTATAATTTAATTTGAAAGTATAAATATGATAACTTATAAATAAATACACAGTAACATAATTTCCAGAGTTAAGCAAATGAAATAGATATACATACTTGAATATCCTATTATAGACAGCTGAAACAAATACGTGGCTTAACTAGTTTTGTTTTATTTAACCAGAAAAGTCCCATTGAGATAAAGAACCCCTTTTTCAAGGGAGTCCTGAATATATACTCTACCGTTCAAAAGTTTGGGGTCACATTGAAATGTCCTCAATGTTGAAGGAAAAGCTGTAGATAACTTTAAACTAGTCTTAACTGTAAAGAAATACACTCTATACACTGCTTATGTGGTAAATGACTGCTGTTCTAGCTGCAAATGTCTGGTTTTTGGTGCAATGTTGTAATTGCTGCAAATGGAGGATTCTTTGACAAAAGCAAAGTTGGATGTAAAACAAATCTTATTTCTAATACAAATCATTATTTCTAACGTTGTCAATGTCTTGACTCTATTTTCTATTCATTTCACAACGTGTGGTGGTGAACAAGTGTGACTTTTCATGGAAAACACACACACACATATATATATATATACATACATAATGTGTGTGTGTATATAGAGAATAATACTTATTAATTACGTTAATATAATAATTACAATTCACGAGGACAAAAGACTAAATCATAGCTTTTTGATCTATCCACAATGGTCTTAATTATCTTGCAGTACTTGTTAACACATCACTGACATTTTGCTTAAAACACGGCGGCCTACAGGTGAATGCCACAGTATAAGCGTTACGAAAAAGTATATAATCATTGTACATTTAGCTTATCATAAATACTTAGTAGATAATGATTAAGAATCAACAACAAGAAGGCTCTGTCATACTGCTCTACACCATCTTAAAATAATTGATCAATTGTACATATATTTTAATATCAATCTTTACTTAAACAGTGATAGAACTTAATTCGCTCGATTCATGCGCGTTCACGGGTCTGTGGTGCTGCACGCTCCCGCTTGAGGTCCGCGTTCTCGTCGTTCGAGGCACAAAGCATTATGGGAGGTCATCCACTGCGCATAACCGGGAGGACCAGAGGATGCCCAAATACAGGCGATTTTCCCATAGAGCTTTGCGAGTTTCAGGCAACTTCCGCCAATATGTCAGCGACCGTGCCGTCACAAAGCGCCACTGAGCACAACCATTCATTTGAATAGGGCGCCATCTTGAATCGCCGGGGCTTGCCCTGACTGCAGTCCGCAGATCGGGGCGGAGCTCAACGTGGGCGGAGTCAAACGTTTGACTCCGCCCACCGCGGAAGCTTCTTTTTTTTTTCTTTTTTTTAACGGAAGCGGTTTTTTTTTTCATTTTACCCTGATTTTAATCTTGATCAAGGGTAAAATCATCAAGTTGATGATTTTAAAAAATAATTAATATTTATCGGTCCCGATATGCTTTTCATTCTTCTACTCCTTTGTATATTATGTATATTTATAAACTATTTTTGGTACCATTATTTATTATTGCACCTGATTCTGACCGATTCTGATGTTACACCTAAGCTTGTAATAATATATAAAAAGCTTTTGTATGGGACACCATTCATTGTTATTTATATCAGGATCACATCTGGTGTCAAAATGTAAATCTTTGGTAAAACCTGTTTCTTTTTGTCTCAAATGTAAATACCAGCTTACATAATAGTAAGGTTACATAATATTCTATATGCATTCTTGTCTCATAAAATAAATGATACTAAAATAATAGTAATATGATTACATTTCCATGAGCCCTCACAACTTTACACACAACTTTTTAATGAGGTTCAGCTCCCACTGAACTAGAACAGTGAAGTGAAATCAACATTTAATATCAGGCTTCTACTTTCAACTTGTCAAAAGCCTTATTTTTTTACTGTCCATTATTTTTTATCCATGCTGCCTTCATTTAAAAAAATAAAAATTCTTATATAAATGTATCCACTCAATTATATCAGCTACATTAAGGAGAACAGAGACTGAATTGTGCCACTGACACTTCTTAAAACATGCCGAGGTTTGAGGTGGGGCAGCGAGACAGTGGACCCAAGGATGCAGACTTGATGTTTCAAAAAGGTAAATTTTATAACACAAACAAAAGCCATAACCGGAACACAGGTATAAAAAAAGTACAAACAAAATCACCAAAAACCACACTAGGAGAACCAAAACAAAGTGAAAATGCAAAGAAATGCAGCATGTGTGAGCAGAAAATTATCTCATTTCAAAGCCGGAAAACACCTGCAGCTGCCTTTTGTCCATCATTTCCTTGCAGAACTCCTCATAGTCTGCCTGCAAACTAAACATGAACATGAACGGTTCACTGAGGTCTTCTTTATACTCTTCATCCAGGCCATCACACATGCGCAGCATTTCCACTGCCCTCAAGGAATCTTCCTTGTTCATGGTGATGACCTGGGGAAGGTAAAGTTTTCCCTTGAAGGATCTTGTGCCACACCACCTTGCTGCCGTTCAGGTGTCCATAAGCAGGGAATCCTCCTAATGAAAAATTAAGAAAATGAATATTAAAATAGAGGTTGAAGAAGGCAGCAAACAGTGAAATAAGAAAAGCTCACAACGGGTAACATACTCCGTTCCCAGTTCCCACTTCCGGCAAGCTCTCAGCCTTTGCTAGAAAGGAAACAGATTATGGTTCTTAAAGGTATAATAACAATGCAAGTTCTAAAAAAGATCAGTAGCTTATTTTAAGTATACTGGTTTAATGAAAATTGAGAAATTACAGCAAAACCAGCTACGTCACATCCCATCTCTACAACCTTGGGGGTTGTGTACAATAATACTGTTTTGAACAATACCTGATGCTTCAGAGACAGATTCTGAAAGCCGAATACTTTTTGGAGGGACAACTTCCAGATCCTGAAATAAATGGGGGGAATGTTTTCTCTTGCAGTGTGTTTTGAAGTTTTTTTGGTTTATTTTTATCTTGCAATGAGGACATGTGACTCTCTTTTGTGCTGCATGCTGTGTGGGGGCCTCTGCATGCTGAACCGGGGCCTCTGGATGAGGTGCGGGGGCCTCTGGATGCTGAGCGGGGGCCTCTGGATGCTGAGCGGGGGCCTCTGGATGCTGAGCGGGGGCCTCTGGATGCTGAGCGGGGGCCTCTGGATGCTGAGCGGGGGCCTCTGGATGCTGAGCGGGGGCCTCTGGATGCTGAGCGGGGGCTTCTGGATGGGTCTCCTCCTCTTGATGAATTTCTAAATGCCTAACAAACTGCATTCTATTAACAACTGTTGCTGTGCAGTAGCAGCAATGAAAATGGGTTGCCTTCCTACACGTCAACCCACACTTGATCATTGTAAATTCTGTAAGAGAGGAATGAAGGGAACAAGATTCATACATGTGAAAAAACACTAATGTAATTAATTAATTTATGTAATATGTAAGCTAGGCAGGTACCTTTGTGCTTAACTGAAGAATGGCCTTCAATATGGGTTTCAACCATTGTTTTTACACCCTTGTACTTGCAAAATGGACAGTGGAAACTTTCACAACCCTCATCAGTGCATTTTGAAAGTGATATTTCACCATTGATCAGTATGCTGATGTGTCTCTATATTAGAGGGGAAAACAATAGACATAAAAGGCACAGCAATTAGAAACACACGAGACAAAATATATGAAATAATTTTTCATTTCAAAAACAAATGTCATGTCATGGATGTTAACATGCAAGGAAGAGCAATATCAATTTCCTGCAGATTACTCAGATGTAAGTGTCAGATTGTCAAATGCTTATGAATGGTACCATTCAAATATGCTTAAATCACATATTAGCATATTGGCTTTATATTCTTACATTATTCTATATTCAACATGTAACAACGATTAAAAAAGTAACGTATTTTCCCCGCGAAAAGTAATAACGATCACATAAAATTTTCTCCCCAAAGGTATAATATTTTCCCAGTACGTCGTGCCGGATAAATATGAATCTAAAACCCAGAAAAGTCGTTTTTAAGTCCAGGTTTATATAATTTTCGCTGCAACAGTAATGCTAGGTATACTAGATTAGAAGTCCAACCGTGCAGAATGCAGATACATACAAGTATAACTTATTTTAAAATAAAAATAATGTTACTTCCTTCCTTGTCGGTAACAAATATAGCAAAGTTGCACGTTAAAACAGAATGAAAAAACTGGCCTACAGTACCTCCATTCTGCCAGCTACTTCGCTCTTCTTCTCCTCTGCTTCTTCTCCTTCTCTGTCATACGCACAGTCCTTGTCACTCCCGTATTCGTCCCGGAAACCGGATTCGTCCGGAAGTTCAGTTTGATCCAATGAGCATACGCAGCAGTAGATTACGTCACGGAATCTGGACGGAAGCGGAAGTAAATATAAAAAACTACCTATTCATGCCTAAACTTAACCATCCATTCCCATAAAATAACCCCAACCCAGCCTTAACCCTAAACTTAACCATCTTAATCAGACGCCTAAACTTAACCAGTCACCACTTAAGGACATATTAAACTTTTTGACATGCGCAAACTGAACTTCCGGACGAATCCAGTTTCCGGGACGAATACGGGAGTGACAGTCCTCAATGCCTAGCTCCCGCTCGGCGGAGCTCAACGTGGGCGGAGTCAAACGTTTGACTCCGCCCACGTTGAGCCCCGCCCCGATCTGCGGACTGCAGTCAGGGACTACTCCCTAAACCCGCTCCATGCTGTCGAAGGAGGAGAAGCTTATGAAGCTCTGTCTGGCTAATATCTGTCGCAGCCTCTGAGCGCTCTTTCTCAGCCTTATTGCTCAGATTAAAGACCTGGCTACACCAGTGACGTGCGGTGGGGGATCAATCATGAGTTCATATGATTATACATCATATAAATCAACTAGACCTACAGAGAGGCTTATTCACAATTTGTTTGGCTACAGTAGAACATGTTTTAACGTCTGCATAGTTTGATACATACAAAACGCTAAAGTTTGTAAAAAGCGCATTTCCAAGTGTGTTAGGGTCCTTACCTTAGTTATTAATGAACAGCACAGACCAGTTCAGTTCAGACCAGTCTCATGTTTAAGTCCAGATAATAGTTTGAGCGCAGATATGTAATCCTCCATTTGGAAATAAGTTCAATGAGTTTTAAAAAGTAAAACAAACGGGTGTCTCCTCCATAAACTCCTGTGTTTCGCTGAAGCCGACTCCCGGATGAATCCAATTTCTAATATCAACCTTACCCATCACCTCCTTTTCTTATGATTCATATCATCATTGGAAGCATAACATTACCCTAAGTGCATTTTAAATTATCTTAAAATGTAATATATGTATGTTAGCCAAACCTGTAGCTGCCCTTAGCAGATGAAGAACAAAAAAGGAGCTTTCTGATGGAATTGAATGTAGCCAAATGTTGGGCTCACAAGCGCCCCCTTGAGGCTTTCTTCACTTACAAACTGAGGTTAAGCGCGATTAAGACCCATATTTGCTTCAAAAACACAATTTATGAGCCATCTTGTAAACATGTTGATTGTAAATTAAATATTGTTTAACTAATTACACTGCTATAAACAGAGAAAACAGTTTGATAGCACCTCACAGGCCTCTCCCTGTGAGCTGCAGGTTTTACGTCTCCCAAGAGAGGCTCGCCTCACAGCGCCGCTCTGTCAAATCTGCGATTTCAAGGTATAAATAAATGAAATAAGGCACAGCACAAATCACTTGATATAGTGACCAAGCATATATGTATTTTATTATTTTTCTTTCTATGATCTAGGTGAGGCTGGGCCTGACCTGCCTCATCTGACCGCACGTCACTGGGCTACACAGTACACTGAAGCCGCCGGAGACAGAATGAATGCGCAGAGTGACCTGATAGATGACATGTTTCTACCCTGCTTTATAATTCATCAGTAGTTCATTGAGAGAAGGTTCACTTTTAGGAAAATATGAAAGTTCTTATATGATTGCAAACTGTTCCTTTTCTGTCAGTGTCAGCGCGATTTTTCCAGCTTTTTAAAATTTATTTTTTTACATCCATTACAGCGTCTGACAGTGCGCACGTGCCATACAGCAAAATTGTGTTTGTTTTTCCAGCTTTGAAAAAACAATGTTAAGTTTTGATAAGATTTATATTGTTTAATTTTCGTTTTCTTAACAATTAAGATGCTATGTTATTATTCAGTGTAATCCAAGTATGAGTCTCTCGCTCGACTCTCCCAACAAAAACCCGCCCCCCCTCTCAGAAAATAGTTCCGACGTCCATGGTGTAATGAGACAGAGTCAGTAGAGCATGTATTGATTAATTGTAATAGGTATAAAATAGGTCTTAAACCTGGCCTGGTCTGGTCTCCAAAGCTCAGCAGGTCTTTAGTTCGGAAGCTGTAAAGTGCAAGGGAAATGTCAGTGTTGTATTACCAGTTAAAGAACAGAAGAATGAGGTTAATATAAAGTATAGAACAGCTCTATACTTCTCTATATTTTTGGGTTAATAAAAAAGCAAGACCCGGTCCAGAACCAGATGTTTTTTATTGCCATCGTAGGTCACAGGAGGTCACAGGAGGTCACAGGAGGTCACAGGAGGTCACAGGAGGTCACAGGAGGTCACAAACTAGGAATCTCTTTGGCTCCAGGTGCAGAGAAGTCGTTAGAGTAAAAAGGTAAAGGCAGCATAAAGAGGCGTCGATAAACCAGATTATTAACGCCATAATCCAGCCTCAGGTCTACCCCAGACTTACCCCAGGTCCAGGTATCACAGGTACAGGACATCAGCTGCAGTCTTTGCCTCAGCATCAGCCCCTCCCCCTGCCCTCCTAACCTGACTGACCTGGGCTTGCTCTCCCCCCTCTCCCCCTCTCCCCCCTCTTCCCCCCTGGCTCTCCTGCAGGTCCTGGCCTCCCTGACGCCCTCCTCCGCCTCGCGCAGTAACGCCCCCCCTCCTGTGCCTCTCCCGCAGAGCTACGAACCCGACGAGCTGACGGAGGAGATGGCCCACCTGGAGGGCCTCATGAAAGACCTGAACGCAATCACCACCGCGCCCTAGGGACCCCGCCCCACCCCACCCCAACTCAGCACCCTAAGGACCCTACCCCGCCCCGCCACAGCACCCTAAGGACCCCACCCCGCCCCGCCACAACACCCTGAGGACCTCACCCGCCCTGCCACAGCACCCTAAGGACCCCACCCCGCCCTCGCCACAGCACCCTAGGGACACAACTGATTGTTCCGGCTGTTTTACACTTTCACCAGATTAGAAACACAAGATCTGCTACTAGCTTCTCAACCTGCCCTGGTCCTGCCTCCCCTGGTCCTGCCTCCCCTGGTCCTGTCTCCCCTGGTCCTGCCTCCCCTGGTCCTTGCTCCCCTAGCCCTGGGTCCCCTGGTCTCTCCCCTGATCCTGGGTTCCCTGGTCCCTACCCTTGTCCTAGCTCCACTGGTCCTGGTCTCTCCCCTGGTTTCTCCCCTGGTCTCTCACCTGGTCTCTCCCCTGGTCCTGTCTCGCCTGGTCTCTCCCCTGGTCCTGTCTCCCCTGGTCTCTCCCCTGGTCTCTCCCCTGGTCTCTCCCCTGGTCTCTCCCCTGGTCTCTCCCCTGGTTTCTCCCCTGGTCTCTCACCTGGTCTCTCCCCTGGTCTCTCCCCTGGTCTCTCACCTGGTCTCTCCCCTGGTCTCTCACCTGGTCTCTCCTCTGGTCTCTCCCCTTGTCTCTCCCCTGGTCTCTCACCTGGTCTCTCCCCTGGTCTCTCACCTGGTCTCTCACCTGGTCTCTCTCCTGGACTCTCCCCTGGTCTCTCCCCTGGTCTCTCCCCTGGTCTCTCGCCTGGTCTCTCGCCTGGTCTCTCACCTGGTCTCTCACCTGGTCTATACCATTCAATCCAAACGGGGGGAAAACAAAAAGATGCAACTGTGATTTCCGTGGACACAAAATGGCGTCTTGTGCCCGAGAAGCATTCACGTCCCCCAGCAACAAACTGCTTTCTTCTTCTACAAGTACCTTTTCTCAGGACGGACGCAGCCAATCAGAGGAAGGGCAGTCACGGCCAGACACCGGAGCACGCCGTCCATGTGGATGGAACTCTTTGGGACCAGATTGTGAACTTTGTTGTTTTTAGGACGGACACAGAATGACTCCTCTGCTCTGAGCGTGTTCATGGTTCTGTTCATGGTTCTGTTCATGGTTCTGTTCACCTGTATGTATTCTGTATTCTTTTATTTTTTACACCTGTATCCGTATCTACATGTACATATGTTATTTTTATTCTGTCGTTTGATGGTTCAGAAGTTTACTCAAATTGTAACACAAAAATGCTGGTGCGAGGCCACGCGGAAAAGTCACTGATGTCATATGTTCATAACCCTTTAGCATTAGGCAAGGTTATTGGTATAGCACAGTCCACACACGGCAACTCACAAGACAAGGCTTTAAATCAGAAAGTCAGGATTAAATCTGTTTTCAACCTGGATTTGAATATTGCCCGTCTCACGTTTTTTGGAAGACTGTTTTTAGCTGCATAAATCTGAAACACTGCCTCCCCATGTTTAGTCCTGACTCTGGGACCAGCAGGAGACCAGTCCCTGTGCTCCTCAGAGTCCCAGCAGGAGATCAGTCCCTGTGCTCCTCAGAGTCCCAGCAGGAGGCCAGTCCCTGTGCTCCTCAGAGTCCCAGCAGGAGACCAGTCCCTGTGCTCCTCAGAGTCCCAGCAGGAGACCAGTCCCTGTGCTCCTCAGAGTCCCAGCAGGAGACCAGTCCCTGTGCTCCTCAGAATCCCAGCAGGAGGCCAGTCCCTGTGCTCCTCAGAGTCCCAGCAGGAGGCCAGTCCCTGTGCTCCTCAGTCTTAGCAGGAGACCAGTCCCTGTGCTCCTCAGAGTCCCAGCAGGAGGCCAGTCCCTGTGCTCCTCAGTCCCAGCAGGAGGCCAGTCCCTGTGCTCCTCAGAGTCCCAGCAGGAGGCCAGTCCCTGTGCTCCTCAGAGTCACAGCAGGAGGCCAGTCCCTGTGCTTCTCAGAGTTCCACTTGGTTCTTATAGCACTAACATTTGGTGCGAGACTTAAAGCTGTGGTCTCTATTTTCAAAGCTCATGTAAAAATCTAATTCTTATTTCTGTCTGAGCCCAAAGGGTCAAATAGTGACTCACAGGGACTGTTGGATCACGTCAGCACAATGACCTGGGGAGATGACGTCGGATTTATCCACAATAAACACATTTCTCACACTTTTTCTATCGCGACAAACAACATTTCAGTCTCGAAACAAAACTTTAGGTTCAGCAGCTTTAAGTTTCTAATAAATAATGTTTAACTGTTTTTCATCACAACAATTCTATTCTATGTTTTTAGCCTCGTCAAAGGACTTTACCAAGTTGTCGATTCGTCGACACGGATCAGAAAATCAAACAGACACAGTGGTCTTTCTCTGGTCTCTCTCTGGTCTTTCTCTCTGGTCTCTCTCTGGTCTGTCTCTGGTCTCTCTCTCTGCCCTCTCTCTGGTCTGTCTCTGGTCTCTCTCTCTGGTCTCTCTCTGGTCTCTCTTTGGTCTCTCTCTGGTCTCTCTCTCTGGTCTCTCTCTGGTCTCTCTCTGGTCTCTCTCTCTGGTGGTCTCTCTGGTATCTCTCTCTGGTCTCTCTCTGGTCTCTCTCTGGTCTCTCTCTGGTCTCTCTCTCTGGTCTCTCTCTGGTCTCTCTCTCTGGTCTCTCTCTGGTCTCTCTCTGGTCTCTCTGTCTCTCTCTGGTCTCTCTCTGGTCTCTCTCTGGTCTCTCTCTGGTCTCTCTCTGGTCTCTCTCTCTCTCTCTCTGGTCTCTCTCTGGTCTCTCTCTCTGGTCTCTCTCTGCTCTCTCTCTGGTCTCTCTCTGGTCTCTCTCTGGTCTCTCTCTCTGGTCTCTCTCTGGTCTCTCTCTGGTCTCTCTCTCTGGTCTCTCTCTGGTCTCTCTCTGGTCTAAACAGTGAAAATAGTAATTCTCACCTAAACAACATCTTAACATCAAAAACATCAAATATCAGATTTAGTTTCAAATGAGTTCAGTTCGAATCTCATTTAATATTTCAGTTTTTATTTTGTATAAATTGTATGAAATAAACTTTTAGCACAGGTACAAAAGCACTGAGCCGTGTTATACTTTTACTTTCACTTTCAAAGGCTCATAATCTCACCTTTTCCCGCGTGGCCCGGTTCAAACCTCTGCATTGCTGTATATTTTTATATGCTGTTTTTTGACGACTGAATGGAAGGATCTCACCGTTTCCATGGTTACCACTTTGAATATACGTCATTTTAAAACAAAGTCTCCTCCTCCCTCTCTACGATGCAGATTAAAGGGAAATGTCTGGGAGTTTTTGATATATATTTTTACTCCATTTTCTGGCTGATAACCAGGAAAGCCTTGTTCTCATGTTGGGTTTGTGCGACAGGATCCTTGGGTTGTGTTCTTCTTCTAGGATTGTGTTTCTTTCTAAAGATCATTATTGACGGTTCTCTGTACGGCTGCGCTGTTACGAATGTGTCCACAAAGTCCGTATTCTCACTTGGCATAAAGTCATTTTTTTAATAATATTGGGTTGTTTTTGTGGTTTGTGCTGATTGACAAGGGGGCGGGGTCTAGCTATGATGTCACAGATCGGAGAGATTCGACCCGGAGCGTTCTGTGAGGGCCAGAGCAGAACATAGAGTGAAAAGTGATGAGAAAATAGTCTAAAAATGCTGAAATTAGGCAAAACATGTGTCTTAATTTGGGATTAGATCGATTTAAGAGTTTTAAGACTTTTTCAAGTGTATCTGTCTGCGGCCTGCAGTACGGAGGCGTGTCGAGTAGTGGGCGTGTCGGGTAGTGACGTCACTACTCGACACGCCCACTCCGCGTGTATGAGCATGGATCTATTATAATACGGGTATGAGTAGTAGTGAGTACTATCTATGCCCAATGAATTTATGCGCAATAATGAATTTTATTGGTCTGGTGGCGCTCGGGCCTACTAATGTAAAACAAACATTATATAAATCATGCTATACTTCCGGTAAGAGCGTGTAGACCAATCAGAAAGGAAGGGGGAGGGAGCTTGGGTTGTTTTTTTTTTCAAATCAAGTACCTCTCTGTCTCTCTTTCTGACAAACTCTAGACAATCACTTTAAAGAACAAATGTACAATATTGCACAACACCTGGATTCGAAGTTAAAACATACCTCCATGACAAACAGATGCCCTTTCATGGGTTTGCACGTGTGTGAGCATTTGTGCTTCTCCGCCATGTTTAAAACAGGTTACACACGTGAGCGTGTTCCCCTGCTTCAGCACTGGAGCATGATTCCCATCACTGACAATAGTCGGATGCAACTGAAAGCAGACATAAACATCCATTTGTGCACACTCAGAAACACAAATATCTTGGAACATCATCCAATAACTATGGTCAGTGACTTCTGTAACTGTGATAGGAAACATCGTGAGCTACATCACATAATTGCCTAACTAATTCTCCACTGTTCTTGGAAAACATGTAAAGAGTTATGTTTTTCTCCTTATTACCATTTTAACGATGCAAAATGACTTGGGCAATATTATATTGTATATATTATACTATGTACCTATTATACTATGTACCTGACATGTCGATGGCACATGGACTCTTAGAAGAAACCCATACGAATTGCTTTCTCTGCAATGTATTAGTTCACTTCTTAAAAAACATTTCTAGTCAGGGTGATGTGCATTTATTCATTAATACACTGTAACTTGAGGGACGGCCTAAAAATAAATAAAACACGTTGTTGGTTGACACTTACTGTTTGCGTACGGTCTGCCATGTCTTCTCTTCAACGGATATACTTGCAGAAGTTCAAGTGGATTCAAAATTCATGTAGTAGGCGTGTCGGGTAGTGACGTCACTACCCGACACGCCTACTACTCGACACGCCTCCGTACTGCAAGCCGCAGACAGACCCTTCTCGTTTCCTTCGCTGCGCCCCAGAGCTAGGGTGACTAGATCTTAACCGCACAAATGTGGGACAGCAGGTCTATTTAAGTGGGACAAATCATGAAAATGAGGGACACTTCGCA